TTCGCAAGAAAATCCTTCCAGAGGCGGAATGGGAACCACTTTCTGAGGACATTTAGTCGACTTCGTCTTACATAATCTGGTGAGTGTAGCTCTTTTGGATATACTCTTCCATAATTAATATCAATCTTAATTTCCAGAGTGTGTGTCGTCTTCTCCTTTCGTTTACCTTCATGCTTTCCAATCCTGCATATAAACAGCGCCTTACAATCATCCTTCCAGACGTCAGTTTTGGGGATGATCATCCCCGGCCTGCATACTTCGAAAGCGAGCTCGAGCACGCGCGCCTTGGTTAAACTCATAAAGCAAATCTCCACAATTCAGTTAAGATGCGGGGAGCCATTCTGGATCGCTATAACCCTTCCACTTGATAAGGTACTCTCGACGCCTTTTAGAGGTTCGAGTTTTCTTAGACCATCTGAGATCTAAGATCTTCTCAACCTCATACTCATCATTTTGGATATCGGCTTCCCAACTGTCCTCAGGGAGTAACGCCGCATCGAAGTCGTCCTCTTCATCTACCTCCACTCTGATTGTCGGTCTTTTGGGAAACAACGCTCTTGGCTTCAGGCGACTAATATGTCACTTCGCGAGTAGATCGCTCTTTAAAAGGCAATGATCAGAGGGACGGTTGACGCGTTGTAACTGGGCAAAATTCCCCAGTCAGGTAACCTTCCTGGAAAAGCGGAGAATAGTGCCTGATTGTGCCTATTTGTACTCGCTGGTGACTTATTTGGAAGAATTTCGATGGATACATTTCCGGTATCCAAAAGATGGGTACACGAAAGAAGAGAACGATGTCGTCGGGCCTTGTTCTGCAAGACCTCGGCACACGCTTTCGCGTAGCTGTAGTCTCTCTGAACTTTTCGTCTCCACTCATAGGCAGTTCTTTCAGGTACACTTGACGGTGTTGGACCCAGCATCGCCTTTAGAGTACTTTGTGGATTCCAGCCATGGATCAAGTAAAACGGGGTATCTAAACACGTTGCGTCGAACGAAGTGTTTAAAGCAAACATCAGTCTTTCCGCATGGTCGTCCCAGTCGCTCTGGTCGGCTTGCTCGATATAGGCCCGAATACTCCTGACAACTGTTTGGACAGATTGTTCCTGTTGCCCGTTTGCTTGAGGTCGGTATCCCAAAGTGGCTCTCTGACAACTATTCAAGAGTTCCTGAAACCGAGTAAATACCTCGCTCATAAAGCGGGGATCTTGATCGTGCCGAATCATCGAACTTGCTCCGAAGTTCCGGAATACTCGTTCCTCGTAAGCCTCCGCGACATCCTGAGCGGTGGTTGAATCCATCGGCTTGCACATCACATATCCAGAAAACATATCTTGAAATGATAGCAAAAACGTATTCCCTCGGTCAGCTTTCGACATGTGCGTCACGAAGTCCATGGAAACCACTTCGAAAGGTTGTCGGGGTTCGATATTCCCGGGCGTGGTCCCGCGGTTGGAGGTTTTCCTTTTCCACTCGCACAATCAACGCACTCCTTCACAAAGTGTTCTACATCCGTATACATGCCAGGCCAATAGAATTCTGAACATAACTTCTTATGTGTCCTGGTGATGCCTTGGTGGCCTCCTTGAAAGTCTCTTCATGGCCATAATGTAGGACATCATCCCTAAGAGCTTTTGGGACGACGAGTCGAGGATCATCCTGAACATCGCGAGGGCGATAGCGAGTTGATCGAGCTAGTCGGTACAACACATCTCTAGTATCCAGTACGAATAGATCGGCAACCTTGGCGACCTTCCTCAGTCTTCGGGGCGAAAACTTCTCGAAGTCCTCCTTCAAAAAGTCTTTGATCTCCGACAGATACTCATCTGCGTCCTGATGAACTCGGATATGTCCCCATCGTTCAGCTTGGAATTCCAAAGGGTCCATAGGTCGGTTTCTCGAGGTGGATTCGTCTTGGCTTCTGGAAAGTTCTGGAACGCGTTACTGCTGCGAGCACGCGGGCTGATTTTTTCAGTGGAGCTGACTCCGC